CCCCAAATTCCACCCCCAAACAATAAAAAGGTTTAATTTTATGACTCCAAAAACATAGTCAACTACTGAAACCCTGACTTGGAGAAGCCAATATAACTGCAGCGCTGACAGTGAGGAGGAATTGACTCATGGGAACCTGCTTGTTTTTCTGCCCCTGATCCACTGACACGCTAGGGAATGGGCACTGTTATCAGCCTTGCCTGAGATAGCAGGCTTGATGGGGCGGCCGGTCCATAGGGATCCCAGAGCTGGAGTTAATCAGACAGAGACAGGTCTGGAGAAACCCAAGGGACTGACGCCGCCGCATCCTCCTCGCCCTCGATCTCCACCACTCCCATCATCACCAAAACTCGTCATGACCTCAACCGTAAGACTTTTCACACAACATTAGCCAGGTGTCTACAAAAGTCTCAAAAATAGATCGAAAATAGGCTCGGGTCTTCTAAGAAGCGGCCAGCCAGTGGCTCGAGAGTTGACGGCCAAGGGAAATCGCTCAGGAAGATCAACGGTGCGGAGTAACCCTTGAGAAAAGAACTTGATGTGTTCACTTCATCCTAGCCCAATTAATAAAAAACTCCAAACCTAAAATCCGCTGGACACACTATTCTGAAGCCAAATGGAGATTAATAGCCTGATGAAAAGATTTGGGTTAACATTCGAAACAGGACAACACAGGCCGGATACGCTCTGACCTCCTGAACTTTGCCGAGGGTTAAAGGTCAGGGGAAACCGGCCATTAATCCTCAGACTAGAACTCAGGGCCGGGACATCTGAGCTTCGAGTCTCGAGTCCCGAGTCCCCGAGGTCCAGTAGCAAAGCTTGGAGACCGAGCCAGGGTTTACTTAGAAAAGGCCACCGAGCATTTCAAACAGTCAATCTGAGCAGACAGCCTGTTTCACAATAGCCACATCCAGTTCGAGCACGGGTGGTCAGTCGTGCGGAGGAGGGGGTCATCAGAACACTCATTTCGACAATCCAAGGTGTCCATTGGGTGTTAGAAATGATTAGGCGTATAGATTAATTGAACACACGTCAGACTTAATTAAGCATGGCGTTTAATTAACCATGTAATTAATCTTATAGAGGCCGTACACACACGTACATATTCCAATTGGTTGAAACTTCAGCAGACAGATGACACGGACTTGTAACTGTTCTCTGCTAGTAAATCCAGCAAATTAAATGTCTGAAGCAAGAATAGACGCATAATCCCTTTTGTGACTCAAGGCCCGAGATTTGGCCCAGGTGAAACTCTGGTGCTAGCAGTTTGCAGTAAATCATACTTACTTTCATACAATCTTTGACACATTATCCTCCTCTGGAGTGTATTCACAAGGTTTTAAAACTGCTAATGTGGCGGGTAAAAGATATTTGCACAATTTATATTTGATGCTACATTTCTGCCAAAGAAAACATGCAGAGTGGGAAAGAGGTCCCTGTATACCCAGCAAGATACAAGCGCTAACACTTCAAGGGTTGAGCAAGGGTCAGTGTTTGTGGTCACATTAATATAGTCATTTGCAGTTGGAAAGCTGCATCAACAAATAACTACCCTTTTTGGTGGAGCTGAGGGGTTGTCCACACATGCAGTTCTCCATTACTAACTTAAAGGTCTTCTACAGATCAAGGGGTCAAAAGGGTCAGTCTGCAGACCTTCAAGAGTGACCCATGACCAGAGGCGAACCAACAGTGAGTGGGGGCCCCAGGCAAAATTAATCAATGAGGCCTTTCTAAAATAGTTTTTTGTAAATATATCTTTGTTTCCTAGAGATATAATTATACAACATACAAAAAGTAGTCAAACACATCTAGCAGAACAAATTGTTTATTTTTTTACAACATTAAAGTAGGCTACTTATGTTTTATCAAGATACAATATCATTCTCAAGGTACAGTAGCCTACAAATCTTCATATTTATAGCCTAATCTATTGTCACCTTAAAAACACTGCTTACGAACCTTAGCTATGGAAAATGCTGTCAGCTGCGTTTCAATAGCCCTGCAATTTGCGCAAATTGAAATTGCAAATTGAAAATACAATGGAAACACGTCAATTTCGCAAAAACTCCCGTTTATGGCAAAAAGGTTTTTACGCTCTCATGAGGTTTTTCAGGCAATTCGAAAAAGGATTTTTTCGCAAAACTGCAATGGAAACGGATTTTGCGCATGCATTTACAGTCACCTGACTTAGAAGACGGAGTGTGTTTTAGGTCCGTGTCCGCAAATAATAATAATAATAATAATTATCATCATTAGCCTATTATAACATTTATTAGTCTACATAGCCTATAGAGAAGACGCTTTTATCCAAAAAAGGAACAAAGCAATTCGTCACATCATTCATAGTACAGGTTGGACAATAATAATAATAGGGCTAGATTATCACAAAGAAACACTCGGTTTTGTCCAATATCCAAGAGTGCGTGCGGAGTTTGGAGCACGCACGGCAGACAGACGCGGGCGCGCCGTGAACACTTTCATTTTCCCATCAACAGTGGAATCAACTTAAAATACTCTAGCATTTCTGGTTATACAGAAAATAATAATACATTATTCGCAACTAGCCTACTTTTATTTGCGTAATGTCACAATAACAAGAAAACGTTGTGCTTTTGTAAAATAACATAAAACAATCAAGTTTATGATCTTCGTGAACTGGAGCGCGAGACCTGAAACAATATCCTTTATAGACTAAAGCTTTAAATGTCCACTTTACAAAGAACAAATTCGAATCGTAAACTAATACCTTCTGATTATGTAATCCGTATGAAAGGTGCCGTTCTCTCTAAAGATGTATCCAGAGATTATGTTTTTAGCTCGTTATTTTTTTCAGACGCATAGTAACTCTATAGCCACAGCACTGCAGGAAAAATATCATAAATATCCATGTTCTAATTTGGCCTTAGAAAACCAGTAAAATCAAATTTTTCCCCCATATTAATTTGTGAATATTTTAAATGTTTTAAAGGGGGCAAAAAGTCATAAACAAATATCTGAAAATTTGTTGAGATGTTATAGCGCAGCTATGGTGTCGTCAAACTAAAATGTTGGTGTTCAACTTTGCATTTTAAAAATAGAACAACCGTTCATTTTTCGTTTTGCAACGGCCGTTTGGACATTATAGGCCTACGAGTTCTTTATTAAATTCTTTTATTTATTTTTTTAAAGAAACAATAATTACAGGAATAGCCTCTCTAAACTTCAAAGAAATGCCACCAAGACATCGAAGCAGAAATAAGGGAGAAACGCAGGAACTCAGTGTCTTTCCCTGCCATTAATGCTTGAACACACGTCTCCTTCCATTAATTAATTAATGTCTAGTGCGGTGCATATCTGTGAAATAGGTAAACTTACCAATGTCCATTGCTATGATTTTTGGAATGACTTTAGGAGAGGAAAAAAAGACGTTTTAGTCACAAAACTTCGGTTAATGGAAACACCGTCATTTCGCAATAGTTTTTAATCGAGATTAGGAAAATATCGTAAAAGTTTTGCGCAAATCTGGCCTAATGGAAACGCGCAACGTTATCGTTTTAAAACATCTTTACAGAAAATAAATGTAGCCTATGCTAAATATATTTTCTGTAAAGATGCTTTAAAACGATATGCAATGTTACTACTGTGAAAAATATGTGAACTGAACAACGAAACGATTTTTTTGTCATTAATTAAGTCAATCAATCATCATCTCATTCTCCATCACTCACCGCAATGTTTTCTCTTTTCCACTTCATCTTGCTCTTTTTTTTCCACTTCTGGCTGCCAGTTGGATATGTCCTCTGCATGTTTAATAAATGAATTCATGCATTTTCTGATATGATTTTCGATTTCAGAAACGCGAGTAAGCGCTGCGGCAGTTTGAAAAAGGCGCCAGAGGCGGCGAAAGCATAAGCAGCCTCGCGAGTCGCGAGAGAGGGGGCCCCACTAAGGGGGATGCCCAGGTGTTGCGGTGTCACTGCGTGTTATATTAATACGAACATTTTTGATTGTTTAAATGATCGGCCCTCGGGGGCCCCCTCAAAATGCGGGGCCCCAGGCAATTGCCTGCCTTGCCTGCCCTATTGCAGCGCCTCTGCCCATGACAACCCAGCCAACTCCAAATCCCACAGCTTTAAAGGGATACTCCACTTTTTTTTTTGGAAATAGGCTCATTTTACAACTCCCCCAGAGTTAAACAGTTGGGTTTTACCGTTTTTTGAATCCATTCAGCCGATTTTCTGATATTTCGAAGAATATCAGTAACCAGACAGTTTCTGGTCCTATTGACTTCCATAGTAGGAAAAAAATATACTATGGAAGTCAATGAGACCAGAAACTGTCTGGTTACTAATATTCTTCTAAATATCAGAAAATCGGCTGAATACATTCGAAAAAGGTAAAACCGAACTATTTAACTCTGAGGCAGTTGTAAAATGAGCCTATTTCCAAATAAAGTGGAGTATCCCTTTAAATGGACAGTTTGCTACCCGACAATTTAAAATATATCCCTCGCCTTCTTGTTGTTCCAAACCCGTATGACTTACTTTCTTCAGCAGAACACAAAAGAAGAAATTTTGACATTCTAGTCCAACTAAATTGGACTCCACTCACTTCCACTGTATTGACTTACAAGAGGGTGAGTAAATGAGGACTGAATTTTTATTTTGGGGTGAACCATTCCTTTAAGCATCTGGGTTACTGTGCCAGAACTTAATTAGAACCCGGAGGAACCAGACAAAGGTGTATCCTAGTACACCAACAATGAAGCTCCACACATTGCTAATATTTGTAGATATTACATCATTTTCTTTAATCAAATATTTCCAAAACAAAGTCATAAGTCAAAGTCGTAACCTGTGTGGCCATATTTTTAGCACATATGTTGTAAGAGTAGACATAGAATCAGAAATAACAAATGTAATAACGATCCAAAGCTTAAGATGAACACCACTGCTAATTGTAAACAGGCGGTAAACTTCAGGTTTATCCCAACCCCAAGGTGGATAAAAAAAGGAACTCACATAATCGTGGAAAGCCTTGGCCTCGCTGGAATGTTCACATGTCTCCCGTCGATCTGGAGCTGCGCAGTACAGATCCCAGAATACACTGCAAAATAAGGCAGAATAAACAAAGCTGAGTATCAAATACATGGGTGAACTCCACAGAACGAAACAGCTGCCGAACTAAACACCAACAGGCTGTGGTGCACTTTACAACATCAAGGCCATGTGAAAATGGTACTGAATGGCATGGTTTGTTTTAGGTCCCGTTGTTCTAATTTTTCCAATTATCCTAATCTTTACCGAAAACAAGTTTTTGCCAAAATGCTTGAGCTCAACTGGGATGCATCTGACCTACTCACAAACATAAACAACACATTGCCGTTGTCAATTACAAACCTTAAGGGTTTACATTAACATGCAAAGCAATTTACTTCAGTTTCATTATGAGTTTTTTTTTTAATACACTGCAGGGCCAGACTGGGACACAATTTCAGGCTGGGAAATCGAACACTCATCCAGGCCATCCCATACACCCACAACAAATTTTAAAACCACGGACAACCCTACTTTCTGTATGGCCATCACGTAAAAAAGGTCTGTGTTGGGGCCGTGCAAACTAAAGGTTCCCTCTTCTTGAACTGCACCTACACTTCCCTTTTGCTTTTTCCCATTTTCTCTGATACCTCTCCTTCTCTCCCTTGTGTGTACTTTTTTTTTTTTACTATTTTTCTTGTACCTGTCACTTCTACTGTTATGAGTAGTTGCAAAAAAACACCTCATTGTAATTTGTTTGCACAGGATCTAACTTTATCAAAGTATTACATTAGGACAGTGTTTTTAATCTTAGAAACGACTAAAAAATATATATTTCATACAAATATAATTAAAAAATTTGTTTTAATTGTCTAAAATGTCAAAATTAGTACAATAACTACATTATGACAATATGTTTTCAGAAAAATCTTAATAAAATAAACATTTTACTTCATAATTACGATGACGAATATATAATAATGACTAGAAATGCACCGATTACAATTTTCTAAGCAGATTTTTCTGTAAGTGTGACCTGCCGATACAGATTTTCTTTCAAAGAACTGTAATTGACAGCATATACAAACAAAAATCGACTTTTCTTCAAATGTAAAATGTCATTTTCATTTAAAAAAAAAAACAAAAAGACATTTTTGAGACAAATTTGACAACAAATTTCAAACAACAGCACAAATAAATGGAATAGAATAAAGATATATGAAATAAAAATGGCTTTAAGTTTTTTAGATGGGTATAGAGTATATCCAGGTAAGAAATACAAGTGAGTGAGAGGAGGCGGGAGTGTGTCATTTCGCCAGAGAACGAGCAGATCTCGGTCTTGGCCGATCATGAGGAAAATCGTCTGATTCCGGTCCCTGGACGGTCGATCAGTGCATCTCTAATAATGACGTCCTTTTGCATTCAGTATTTTGAGAGACAATAGTAATGGGGTGCTACCGCCAACATTTGCTAGCAGTTTAATACTTCGCTAAGTTGACCAAGACAAAACCAAAACCGCAGCCTATTTACAGACGAAACTAAGCTGGACTTGCCCTGAAAAGGTCAGTAATTTTGACCTTCTCTGCTCCACCTCGTCTCCATCCAAGTTCCTCGCATTGATTACTCTGTTCAAAACAGTTTTGATTGGCAGACGCATGGAGCAGACGTTAAGCGAATCCTCGCCAGTCAAGACAAACAGATTCATGATGTATTATCAAATGCCAAATTGGGGTTCGTCAACCGGCAGGATTTATGGGGTGACGCGGTGTCGATTTCTATTTTAGAAACGTGTGAAATGGTTTCAAATCAGGCACTGGCTCCAGTCCTCCGCTTGTGTAAAAAAGCACATCCGAGGAATAACAGAAAACTGATTTTCTTCAGTATGACACTCAGTAGAACTTGACAGACTCTATCAAAGCTGGGTCACTGCAATCATAACCCCCTGGATAGCTTCCCACTTTATGAGGTGCGACCTGCAAGTGGCTAATCAATTAGGCTTGATATTTGTTAATTAAGGAAATACAGTCCTTAAGGGCTGCTAGGGGGAGCAGGTTGCACTCCAAATTGTCCCTTAATTACTTCATTGAAAATAAGTACCTGTTAAACAGGTCGGCATTAAACCGCTCTCACTCTTTAGATATTGATTTAATGGACGCTTCATAAAAGCTGCTGAAGCAGGGCTTAAGAAAACGAACGCAAGTTGTTCCATCTTTCGAGGCAGCACTTTTTACCGCTGTGCATTATTTCTGCTGATGTAACAAAATTAGACTTCTGTTCTGAATGTGAGGAAAAAGCTTACGTTTGATGTGACAGATTGCAAAAAGGACAAAATAGGCCGCTCACGGCACAGCGACAGGTCAATGGGGCTAATCAGTTTCCACCCATTTCATATATCTTGCCGTGGAGTGGAAACCATTTGACGGATTTGTGTTCGTGACCATAACGCAAAGGATAGCTCATGACAGCTTTCATAAATCACTCATTGTTTATGGGTGGAATAAGAGAGCAAGGTTAAACAACGTTCAGCTCATAAGACTACAAAAGTAGAGGAACTGCAGTAAAAAAATTGTTTAGATGCATATGTAGATTGAGCTTAGGCTTATTAAAAGGAAAAAGGAACAGGTCAGCCAAATATTTTAATTCTCGCATCTTGCTCCAAAGTCATGTGACTTACAATGAATGCAAACTAAATAAATATATGAATGAAGGTTGTTCATATGATAGATTTGTGAAGACGAAATGCCAAATAAATCGTTAAGACCATTTTTGAGAATTAGATGAAGTGATCCAATGATTCAAAGTTAAAAGAACAATTCATTCAAGAAATCAGAGACCTCATGTGATGCATCAAATACATCTAAGGCAGATGTCAGGATTTTCGTTGAGTAAATTTCAGTCTGATCCTCACACAAAGCCTTATAGCATTCTGTGGACCACATTTATGTTGCTTTTTGTAATTTTTGAGCTTGATAACCCCATATCTCTTTCACAGTAGGATATTCTTCAAAAATTACAGTCATACCACTCCTTTTTGAAAAATTGAGAAAAAAGCGGAGACACAAAAAGACAAAAAATGCCATACAAGATCCATAGATGAGTGCTCAGTAGGAGGCACTATACATTAACACCTCACATCCTATAGAAGCAATAAACCAGGAAACAGGTGAAAAGAAAAAGCAAGAAAGGCACTTTGACAGGGGAACGTCATGCCTGTTCTGTGCCCTTCAGTCAGTTCACAATAAAGCCGGGCGGCATTATCATATCTATCAGCCGCCGTTAAAGAGATTGCAGCTTTGTCGGAAAGCTGCTGGAGGGAGACAGCAGGACCATCTCAAATCCAATCAGGGTGCAGGGGAAATGAAATAAGACGCCAGTTACACTTTGTTACTGAAAAGCCTTTTCTAAAAAAAAAAAAGTATGTTCGATTACCTTGATTTCAGCAAGACGACTTGCTTAAGGCCTGTGTGCTTTGCATCAACACACAGGAAATGTTTGAAAGTTTTTACATAGCTGGTATGATGGCACGCACGAATCACGACAGTGGATTTTAAGACATGAGGAAGTGTAAATAAATAAATAAAACAAACACAAAACAATAAAAACAAGAGGAATTTTCAAAATTATATCACCATTATAATATGCTAACTATAAAAAGGGGGGATGGGATGGGGAGATGACCCAAAACGAAGGATTCAAACTTGCCCGCATATAAGAGCCACAATGCAACAGGTCTGTACACGTAGATTTCCCGCCATACATTCTCTCCAACATTTTGTTCCTTTAGATAATATAAAACAAAATACACATCAAAATCTCTCTCTCTCACAAAAAAATTTCATGTACTTCCAATACTTTGGTGTGACGTATTTAAGCAAAACATATGTGATTAGATGGTGTGCGAGTTTACATATCAAACTACAGAGACCGAATGACAGTTTTCTTAAACAAGGCCTAAATAGCTATTTAACTTATTAGCTATGCGAGTTATTTCTTGGAATAACATACACTGATTAATTATTCACCAGAAATATGAATCCATTCAGGGTCAGTTTTGAATTTGTCTTGACTTTAAACATGCTGCTATCCATCAGATGTAGTACATAGAAATGTTCATATTAGCATCAATGTAATATTGTGCGACATGACCTGACCTAAGTGTTTATCAGTATAACATGTAAATCAGCTGCCTTTTCATTTGCATTAAGTCAATTTTTAGATTGCGTCATGTAAATAGTTGTGACATATTGTGTTCTACATGCTTTAATGTCAACTTTAGGGCATACACAACCATAACACCCTTTCTTTCTGTTTTTTCCTGTGTAACACAGTTGAGTTTAAATTAAAGTGTGTTGAAGGTAAACTCTTCACTGTGGCTTTTCAGTCATCTCTACCATTCACAAAGAAGGATGTCAGCCATAGGCCATCTGAAAGTAAATCCATTTAACATTTCTATGGCTCGACTTTCTCCTTTCTTACCAGAAATCGATTAAACAAATGTATGCACAAGATTAATCACAAACGGTCCAAACCTTTTTTTGCGATCCACACCTGCACCCCAACGAAAACCACCACCCCCAACCCCTTGCTCGCCTTACAACAGATGTGGATGACTGCCCCTCTCACCAAACTTTGCCTCCATCCCCTTCAGCCCCACCCCAGAGCCTGGTGCTTTCAAACCCCCTTACAACAGGAAACTGTCTTAGACAGAAGGGAAGAAAATGCAAAAGGGGGTAGTGGAGAAGGAGATTTGGCTGTTTAACACAAAGAAGACTGGAATGCAAGGAGTTAATCCGTTTGAGGGTTCTTCCGCAAACAAAGGACAGGCCTCCAGACAAAGGTTGGGGTTGGCTTTCCCTTACCATCTGGCCCTTTTGTTTGGGGGAGGGGGGTTGGTGAGGAGGGCGGTACTCCATGGCCCCTCCGACTCCCTAAAACCTCGACACGACCCCCCTCCTCAACGTGCTATAGCTCCAGACAGACGCCCCCTCCGATAGTGTCAACAACATACAGGGACCCTCCAAACCCTACTAGACTCCCAATAATCTCACAGAGGGGAGCCAGTAATCCAAGATGGAGGAGAAGTTGAGTGTGATAAATGAACACACTGCTCTGTGTGAACCCGATCTCCACACACTGATCTTATTTTTGAGAAAGCTTAGAACATAATGTGAATTCCAGACCAACATAAGAGTCTCCAATGGACCCAACTTACGATGGATGGCCTAGTTAATTTGGTTCCAATAAAATAAGGCTGTTATGGATAGATGTACATAATGTTCAATAGGTTCTACCGTTGCGTACCTTGGGCTCGATAGTTCGTCAGACAAAACATTGAAAATTGGCCTTTCCGAAAAATTACCAGAGGACATCAACACTATAGGAAACAATGGTTCCCTGCTGAAAATACCATCTCAGATCAACATGAATTCCCAAGCTAATCATAACTGTTATATGGCAGCTTCTTGCTAACAAGCTAGTCCACTAGTTTAGGTATGTTTTTCACTAGGTTGGTTGACCAAGAGAGGCTTGCAAGCTAAGAAGCCTTGTAGGCACAATGCTGGTCTCTTCAACAGGGTTTTGGATATACGACCTTATTGAATGTTCAGTGCATTTAGCCCACACAGCCTCATTTTAATTTGTGTAAGAAAATCTAATTAAATATGGCCTCTACCCAGGCTAAGGTTCACAGAGTGAAAGCCAACAAAGAGGAATACAAGAACATGTCGAGATCTTCAAATCCATCCCAGCAATCACTCAAAGACGACCCTCTACGCACACCTAGGCAATAGATTCGCCATTGGCTAGTAAATTATTTTAGCCCCTTTCACACAGCGCGTTGATCAATTGTCAGGAAATTTCCAGTCAAACACGGCCCGGGATTGATACCGCCATCGATCCTGGGTTGGGGACCAAGTAACATTGCCGGGATCAGTCCTGGAACGCGCGCTGTGTGAACAAAAGCCAGGACCAATGCCATAAGGGGTGTGTCATAGTGATGACACTCGTGCCATCGCGCGACTGTTGCTCTTAGAAGAAAGTTTGTGTTCGTCATCAACAAAGTAAGGACGAACAAATGTCTGCAAACTGGAACGAAGCAGAGACCAGGAGCTCCTCACTATCCGCACTGAAGCTGAGATCGTTCACCAGCTTTGTGGAACGGTATGCGCGTGTACATGTTTTCGACGCGTACGTTACACGTCTCATCCTGACGTCATGTGTCTTTCCGGGATATTACGGGTTGTGTGTGAACGCGCTCACATATTCCGGCAAATCACTGGCAGTGTGAATGAACCGAAATCAAACAATCCCGGGACAAATTCCAGGTCACATTATCCGTGTATTTTCCGGAATCTCTGTGTGAAAGGGGCTTTTGGTTACTTGCCAGACTGATATACCATTTTATATACATATTTTCAAATATCTGAACATATACTGTTAACATCAGTCAATCAAGTATTATATTATGATATCATGATAATCGAGCACTATTTAATGATTGATGACTTGGTAACGTTTAAATGTAGCGCGTCAATTCTGTGTGGCACGCAAAACTCACTCTTTGCGTGTGTGTGTGTGAGAAACACAGCGCTCTTAGCAAAACAGTGGCGAGTCGCCTTCACATAGTTTACGGCACCTTAAATTATATAGGTACAGGTCTAAAGCTGTATGCCAACATACAAATATATATGTAATAAGGAGACACCTACGTTCAAGAATAATGGACTGTTGTTCATTAAGGCTACTCTACTGCTGATAATGGCTAGCATGGGCATAACGTCAGAGAATGTTAGGGGTTTTGAGTTACAAGATCAATACATACCACCACCATGAGTGCAGGAATCCAGGAGGCTCTCCTAATGTGATATTCTTCTCCCATCGGATCTAAAAAGGTAGAACCCGATAGAGAGAGAAAGAGAAAAAGAGACAAGTATGAATAGAGCAGGTTCAGAAAGCATGAACTACAGTTAAAAAGCTCCATTATAATAGCAAAACAAATTAAACATCTAGTTCTTTTGGTTCAGCAGACCAAAAATCTTACAAAACCATTTATTCGCTTTGTTAACTGAGCAACTTGCTGTCCTAAATAAGTCCTATAATCAGGTCACAGTGGTTTAGGGTTACACATTGTAAGCAATATATGGATATCTCATAATATTAAAACGTTTTCAAGCTTAGATAGATGATCACAAACAATCCGATCATGATGAAATGGCCAAAATGCCTGTCCAAATGTGTAGGGTAGTAGCATCGGTGCTTTAAAAGGTTTTACTACGCAACTTAAAAACATAAATTACAGACGAAACTGAAACATTCAACCCTACTGTATAATATATCCAATATATATCCCCATAACACAGACACCATTTAAAATATTCGCTCATCACATTCACTCTATCTTTAAAGATCACAGCCTACCACTGTAACGGATGCTACTTTTCCAAACAGACGTATTGATTTTAGAACATGCCCTGTCCATAACTATGCACCCAAAAAGCTGATGTGCATTATTCTGCGTTTCCCTGATGTAAGGGACTGATTAACAATGTTTTAAAGTGTGTATGCGTGTTTGTGCTGATCTGTGCAGAGCTGTCTAGCCCCTAGAGGTCCAAGGTGTAAGTAGAGGGAGTTTCAGCAGTAATTGTGAGGTGGCAAAGGGAACAAGCAGGTGACTGCTCCCTCATTAAGCTTCAATGCACAGGTGCGTCCTCCTGCTGTGTACCTGCCCGGGCCGAAAAACCTCCCCTGTGGTGTACGAGTGTGCCTGCACTAAGGTCTTGAGATCTGACGAGCGTTCGCCTAATTGAATAGCAACGCGGTAATGACGACTTTCGACAGCACGCATGTTGACGCCCTACCGCCGTTACAAAAACACTGAAGCGTTAGTAAACACAGCCATCTGTTTACTTGTTGACTCTTTAATATTTATTTACAGACTACAGTCTAAATTAGCATGCATAAGTTGTAGATTTAGCCTTTCTAAAACTATGCTATGGATGGCATCAATATCTGAGGCAAAAAATAAACAGCCTTCGGCAACTAATGCAATTAAGCTATGGCCGTCAATAGATTTAATAATTATCAATACTTTTTTAGCAGTCCATTCATTTTTTAAAAGGAAAAAATAAAACTATGTATTTCTAAGTAGAGGTCGACCAATCTTACCAATAATAATAAAAAGGTTGGACCCGATAACAATTCATCAACCGATATTTTTCTAAATGGATACTTAAGAAAACGTAATACATGGCATAGTGCTGATTTTTATTACAAAAATAAAAAAACAGAACAGATTCAGAACCATGAAAATGTACAGTACTTTTTAAATGTAATAGCTTTAAATAAGCAAATTTGCGGCAAAACAAATTCATAAAAGCGACCAGCTATATATAAACGAATGAAAATAGATCGTATTTGTGCTATTAAACATTTGGGTCAGGCTTGCGCATGTTTTTGTCTGCTAATGTTAGCATGAGAGGATGCTAACTGCTAATGTTAGCATCCACTCAGCCTCGACGGCAAACATACTGTTGTTGTTTCTCTACTAACACAGCATCCAGTCAACAAATTAATTACTTTATAATGATATGAAAACATGTACAGTAGTGCTGCTGTATATTGTCTGTTTTAAATCCGAATCTAAAGTGTCTCGCTCCGTGCAGTGCGCAATCTTGCACGTCAAAACAAACTCCACAGGGTGTCAGTGATAGTTTTTATTTCACTTCTAGGGGGCGCTCTCATGCGGTGTAAAGACAACGGACACTTCTCAGCCGATTCAGCAATGGATGCAACCCAGTGAATCGGTTCAAGAGCTGCATGATTCTGGATAAATTAACAATCCCGATTAATTTGTTTCAAACAGAGATCACGATTCTCCCACGATCCTGAATGCACAACTAATTAAAATTACATGACATAAAATCCTGCAGTCTATTTAAAATGTTTAATTTGATTTTTTTTTTTGTTAATAGATTTGAATGAATGATTCAATGACTCGCTCCAAGATTTCACTTGTTTCATTATTAGATGAATTAGCATTTTTGAACGTGTAATCGATACATGATGTAATCGATACAAGCCAAGTTACATTCAAAAGGTGATTTGCTCAATTTTTATCGCTACTGGAGACATCAGTGTTTATATCCGAACTATAAACTTTTATCCCTGTACTCCTGCGATAATCTGAATTGTTGTAACACAGAAACAATGATACTGTGAGGTTGAAAAGACACATGAACACTTGAATTCTGGTCTTTCTGGATCAGCGGCAGCTCCAATGCAGATCTGAATGTTTTGAATTGTTGTCATTTAGAAATGAAATCGCCTGGGTGTTTGAATCGAGATCTTTTAACGATTAGCTAATCGTCTAGCTCTAATCGGTATGGATTTTTGCCGATAACTGATTGTTCCAGCAAATGGTTATCGGCAAAACCGATCAATCGGTCGACTTCTTTACACTCTAAAAAATGCTGGGTTGTTTCAACCCAAATTTGGGTCAAATATAGACAAACCCAAATTTTTAGATTAAAAATGTAATTTAAAATGTGAACCCAAAACTTTCACTTTCAACTGTTAACCCAACATTTGGGTTTGTCCATATTTGACCCAAATTTGGGTTGAAACAACCCAGCATTTTTTAGAGTGGGGTTAATGGGGATAGGATAATGAACAAAGTGGAATATATTAAAAATATCATGCTAGCATATATATTACTTTTCATTAGCTCAAAACAATAAATAACAAAACTTTCTTAGATTTTTATCTACAATGTTTTTGATACGTTTTCATGAATCTTATTAAATTTCATAAATTTAAATTACTTAGATTTTATATAACATCTCATCTGAATGAAAATAGAATATTATTGAATTAAATAATATTCTGATAATGCATTAAAAGGCATTATTAAAGAATCTAACTCATATTAAGTTGTCCAGTAATTGAAATGTGTAAAATCGTGATATCGCACTGTGTGGTATGTTTTTAATTATCTGTGCATCATGCCATGCTGGGCTAAAATTCAGAGACAACACCTCACTAGTCTGACCAAAGTCCCAGGAGTTTGTACATGCACAAGGCCAGAATTTGGCACAGTGCTTTATCTTTGTCAAACTTTGTCTGAGCGAAACATTCAAAAACACTGGAAGCTTTTGGAAGAGCACTTAATGATACCCACACAAACAAACGCAGCAGGTAGCAGAGGGCCGCGGCGAATGCAATAAGATAGATGATAACATTTGAAAAGTTCACAACCTGTAAAGGTCCTGAAGCACTAAAGAAGAGTGTTCATGTCTTATAATGTCAAACAATTAACATTTACAAACCTTTATTACAGCAAAAACATATCTCGTCAAAAACAGCTTCCATATTCATTCAAATTACCAATTGGAAAGCTGAACAGACAACTAATAATGCCTTCCAATATAAAGCACAATAAAACACAGTGTGACAAATTCTTCAGCAAAATCTCCAAAAATGCTAATAAATTACTGTCTTCTTGATTCAATTAAAGGATAGGCTATCAAAGCCCATATAAATTATTCAAGAAATGAGTCAAACCAATAAAAGTCTTTGACTGGCCTTAAAAGAGAGCATTACAGCAGATCGAGAGTGTATTACAAACCAATTGCACCTGTTCCCACAGAGGCCAACATTAAATCAGACTTTTAACATGCAGTCGTATTTAAGAGCGGTTCTGAACAGAAGTGGTGGCATCACCTCCACTCCAGACATGTAGTGTACTCGAGCTCCATATAATGTTCATATAGTGAGTGAGAACGGCATTGACATCATCTACAGCAGAAGCTCCAGCGCTCCATGAAAACCATACCGACAATCCACTTTACTATGGCAGCAGTAGCCGCACGAATGTTAATGCTCTGATCGCGCCCCCTCAGTGGCGCTCAAACTGATATTCAGAAACACAATCGCTGGTGACAAGTTACGTAATATCACAGCAACGACACTTCCATTTATCGATCAAGACCTTTCAATGTTTTAGCAGATAAATGGAGAAATCCTGCTAAATAACAAGTTTAAGATGGCCGTTGTGTTTTATTAAGAAGCTATGATGTTTCTCCATATTACCATAACAGTTCACAGTTGCTGAAACAAAGCAATTGGAAATGATTGATTGAATTGATCAATTCATCAATAAGACCGTATTCATTTCTGGCCTCATTTTATTCATATTTCTAGCTGATTGTGCGATACCACTTACCTCTGACAGGAAGGTCTGTGCCGATTTCTGTGCGCCAACATGCAGCAAGTATTCATACACATATAAAGCTAACCTGCAAGACAAAAGAGGAAATGGGCATTGTAAATCTCAGGAGACTTGAGGGTTTTTACTTAAATCGTCAATTTTGGGTTGGTCCCAAACCAAGTTAGAAAAATGCTGTTCCACTGGCTTTCCCATTCTAGATGGACAAGCAAACACATTACAGCAATTCACTGCTGAGGTTTCGCATGTTGAAACCTCACAGGTGCTCCGTCGTAAAACATTCTTGGAAATGCAGACTTGTGAAAATTGTTTGAAATCTGAGATTTGAGGTGAAGACACTTAAGTGTGACCAAGTCAATGACAACACAAGTGAAATTTCAAAATTCATTAAACCAATTGATACCACAGCAACAACAACAACATATGTATCACAGCATTGCTATTAAAAAGTTTTTTTTTTAAGAAATGAATACTTTTATTTTCATCAAAGTGATAAAAAGTGACAGTAAAGACATAAATAAATGTTATAATGTTATTCAAAGAATCCTGAAGAAAATGTACCAGTTTCCACAAAAATATTATAATAATATAATAATGATAACTGTTTCTTGAGCAGAAAATCAGCATATCAAGGATCATGTGACACTGAAGACTGGAGTAATGATGCACAGCTTTGATCACAGGAATAAATTAATAAATTTAAACATATTAAATGTAAATTCACAATACTGTTTTTCTGTATTTTATCAAATAAATGGTAAGCATGAGACTTCTTTCAAGAAAAGTACAAAGCAGTGATACAAGTAAGATGTAAGATGCAAGTTTAATTGGAACATTATTAATTTAAGATGTTAAATATGAACAAAAATAATACAAATGTAGTCTTCAAGTATATTTCAGAATAAAACTAATAATGTCTTAGAATACTTGAAGCAATTTAAGTAAAGACCAATAAAGAACATGAATTAATTCAGAGCATTCGTTAAACAAATTATAATGGTTTTCAATTAAGTTATTTATTAACTACATTAAAATCACGCAATTACGTTTTCTCAGCATCAGAGCAATTCAACTGTTTTTGAGAGCCACTTTGCAATGTATATTTAACTAATCTAAATGTAATGAAATGTTGAATTATCTTCATTTGGCTTTTTTTTTAGCAAATATTAATTCAATGAATTACATGTAACTAATGCGATTAGAAATTGTAGAAATTGACAGGCCTAATAAAAATGCATTATCTGTCCACAAAATACGCTCGCCATTACTATTTAAAAAGCATCTCCTGAAGAACAGCTTCAAGGATCAAATACCAAGGACTCATTTTCCCCTCAAACGTCTGAATTATTTCTTGGTGTTTCATCAGACGTACTCATTTTAGGAGCTACCCTCAAGTATATATACAGCTGTCAACAAAGTTGTACTTTCATGCAATGCGAGGAAAAGATTTCAGAGTTTTCCTTCTAATTTAATTACAGTCATTTTTAACATTTAGAAAACTGGAAATTCCTTTCACGGAACTCATGTCACACTTCATTTTCTAAAAAAAATTAATAAATAAATAAAGAGCACATCAGCTCAGGTTCTTCCAACAGTGTGACGGAGGAAAACAATGATGTGACGAGTTCACGAAAGCCCACGTCCATCAACTGACTGACACACTGACCTCAGAACAGCATTAATGTCCACACTTTAATGTCATTCCCAAAAAGATGGACTTCGACAACTTGATTCATTCATCTAGATGTTTTCTTCCATCTTCATTAGTTTTGAGATTTTTAAAGGGGTCATGAACTGGCTTTTTAAATTTTATTATATTGTTGTCTGAGGTCAACTTATGACATTCGCTTGGTTTTTACAGTAAAACACATCAAAATGAATAAGTAATAGGCTATTTTCTACCCTAGTTTTGAGCCCAGCTCAAAAACACTCGTTTTAAGTTTTTATGGGCGTCTCGCATTGAAGACTTGGAAGTAAACGCCTACTGCTGAAAGTGGATAACAGTTTTGCATATTATAATGAGTTTCACTCTCGATTTGGTTTGTCATCACGAGGTAGACAGGCCTATGTTATTTAGCTATGCGTGTAATGCGCGAATCGGTGGGCGGGGCTAAAGCGGCCGTGTTGAAGTAGGCGTTGATCTTCTTCTGTGGGGGTGGTGTTTTATCCTCTTTGTCGTCATAGTTCCCCACTTTGAAAAACGAGTCGTTTGCTGAGCCTGGTGTCAATAAAAGCTTTCATTGGACTAACACGGACGTTTTCAGTTCTGAAACTTACAGGATATTTTTATAATATGATGACCTCTTAGATGTCAAAAGCTCAAGGAAAATTAGATTTCTGAGTTTATCACCCCTTTAACAACAAAGTAACATTTAGACAAACATGTTAGACTTCCATCCACAGCATTTTTGTCCTGTGTGAAAACAGCTTTTTGAAGACACTCTCCCTGTCTCCCAAGTACATGCATCTGAAAATTACATTTTCGTAAGTGTAAAAAAAGGTATTTGAAAACGATAGTGATTGTCTAGTCGTGACCCATATTTTACCGATTGATATCGTTATGTGCCTGCTACACTGTAAAAATTGATATGTTGACTTAATTTTGAAAAAAGTGAGGAAACCCGTTTCCTTAAAATTATTAAAAAGGTACAATTTGTAAGAATTTTGTTTCAAAATATCCAAAAAACACTTGCACCGTGTTAAACATTTCTTTTGTATGCTTACATAATGCTAAATGTTTCCAAGGATTTGCAAATTCAGAGAAATTAAAAATTTTATACAGTGCCCGTCCCTTGTAACTTGTTCCGTCAATGACGCGTTATCTCTGGTTTCCGCTCGTATGGCCATAGTAACCATGGCGACAGACGTGGAAAACTGCGTAATGTCTAGTGGCACGATCACGCCGTTGTGGTTTCGTTCAAACATAATGGACCATGTCAAGCAGACTTTGGGACAAAAGGAGAACTAAAGCGAGCATCAATATCGGTGTGGCGTTTTCGAAATGCCGAGAGGTCCACATCCGTGACAAACTTCTACTTGACAGAGACGCCGCTCTTGCATCTACTTTATTAGACGAGTGATTGTACATAAAACGAAAAAATGTCCTATAGCTCAACACGATGAAATGTTCAAATATGATCAGTATGTTATTCTAATGTATTCTAAAGCTTATAACTAGTCTCATACACCACATGCTAGTTATTCAACATATAGAAGAATAACATTGTAACGTTCAACACACTTAAATGCAGTTTATTGTGATAGTGTAGACCAAGTGAAACAGCACTGCGTTACCAATGGTATGACGACAAGTATCCATGATATCGCTTTTTCACTGAACTTGACAATTCCATGCAACTTAATTTTTTCAAGTATGCATGAAGTTTATTTACTTAATTTTAAAGCAACAGGTTTCCTTTTTTTTAAATTGTCAACTGATCACTTTTTTAAGTGTATGTGCTATTGACTTTCACAGTATTGCTCAAGATAAATGTTTTTTTTTTTTTTTTTTTTTTTGGTACAATTACATTCCTGCAAAGATGACAGAACATTTACTAGCAATTGCGGTCCTGCGGCAAAACATTAGGGCAATTGTGTTTTAGACCAAACATGGAACAGTGACTGAGTGGACACAACGGTCAGTGGTGAGATATTTGGCTAAAATGATCAAGCCAGAAGAACAGCTTAATAAACTTTATTATAACTGGTCTTTCTGTCTTATTTCAGTGAACTTTTATGACATTTTACGCAGCCCAGTAAGCCGATTTTAGCGTTTTCCGATGTTTCGGTGAGGATGAGAAGAAACTCGAAAATACTATTATAGACAGACTGTTTTGAAACAAAAACGGCATTTTTGAATGTATCCGGATTAAAGGGATAGTTCACCCAAAAATGAAAACGTTTCTATTATACCTTCAAGTTGTTCCAAACCTGTATGAGTGTCTCTCTGTTGAACACAAAAGATTTTTTTTAAAGAATGTTAGTAACCAGAAAGTTACCGTTACAGTATAGGCGCCGTTGACTTCCATAGCAAGAAAAAATACTACAAATAAATACTAAGGAAGTTAATGTGTGTCTGGTTACCAACATTCTTCAAAATATCTTCTTTTGGAACATGAGGGTGTGTAAATGTTGACTTTCCCTTTAATGTAGACGTAACCTGAGAATAAAACACTGATTAAAACTAGCCAACTAGTCGTCGTCATTCAGCCGTCAATCCCACTGGAGCACAAGTCAGTCGTGTACCTGACAGCACAAGTCTGCTCAATTGAACCCAGCTGGCATTGAAATGGATCAAACAGAGAATCCCACAAGTGGCTGGATGAAATTTTCATTGTAAGCTTTAGATAATCTGAGGATCTTCTGCAAGTTGAAGATGAGTTCCTGCTCTTGGCCTGAGGCATTATTGTGAAGGACTTCGTCTACAGTGAGCTTTAGGGAGCGCTTTTTATCACACAGTCAGAGGAACATATCGTTATTTGGACTAATAGCGAGACCGCAGGTGGAGGATAAACAGGCTGAGATGCTCAGTGTGCGTTCGACTAATCCTCATGCAATACAACAGCTGACTTAATGCAATACAACAGTTGACTTAATATTTAGATTAATGACTCCATAAGACCGGTCGAAAGCTATCGTTTTCAGACGCCTGCTTCTGAGAGGCGCGCAGCAAGGATAATTTAGACCTTGACAGCGGCGCACGGACGTCTGCATGGATGCCGATACGCCGATGATGGACAGGAATATCTGACGAGGTTCTGCTTTTGCTCTGCCATTCAGGCGTGGCGGCTCGCTGTGTGTCCAGTCTCATCATGATGAGCTCTCCTGACTTAACCTGAAAACACATCTTGACATCTCGCCCGAGGCTCCCAGTCAAGACTCCGTTTATACATAAAAGAGGCAGAGCCAAGTTTAGCTAGCTTAAGCGCAGACAGTTAACAAATGAACTTTGCTGTCTCCATTTCAATAATTCAGCAGCAGGGTCTGGCGTGAAGGCTAAGAGCATGTGAGGAGAGCTAGAAAGTTGGCTGAAGTTTTTTTCAAGTGAAGTTAAGGGTTATCATGCACCAG